TGACTAACTAATGTCATGTAAATTATGTTAACTTGAGTTTAAAAAGTTAATTGCAACAGGAACAAAGCCGATTTTGAAATGCGTCGTTTTACATTTTGGCACTAAGTATGCGACATTCATGAATCAGATGTAGTTTCTGTGTTTGACCACAGGAGGGCGACATTAATTTTAAACAGAATCAGTTGTAGTTTCTGTGTTTGACCACCAGACGGCGACGTTAAATATTAAGCTGAATAAGATGTAGTTTCGGTGTTTGACCACAGGAGGGCGACGTTAAATATTAAGCTGAATAAGATGTAGTTCCAGGTGTGACCACAGGAGGGCGACATTAATTTTAAACAGAATAAGATGTAGTTTCGGTGTTTGACCACAGGAGGGCGACATTAATTTTAAACTGAATCAGATGTAGTTTCTGTGTTTGACCACAGGAGGGCGACATTAATTTTAAACTGAATCAGATGTAGTTTCTGTGTTTGACCACAAGAGGGCGACGTTAAATATTGAACTGAATCAGATGTAGTTTCCGTGTTTGACCACCAGACGGCGACGTTAAATATTAAGCTGAATAAGATGTAGTTTCAGTGTGTGGCCACAGGAGGGCGACATTAATTTTAAACTGAATCAGATGTAGTTTCTGTGTTTGACCACAGGAGGGCGACGTTAATTTTAAACTGAATCAGATGTAGTTTCTGTGTTTGACCACCAGACGGCGACGTTAAATATTAAGCTGAATAAGATGTAGTTTCTGTGTGTGACCACAGGAGGGCGACATTAATTTTAAACTGAATCAGATGAAGTTTCAGTGTTTGAACACAATCAATCAATCAACTTTTTTTGTACCCGCAGGTAAATTTGGTTACAGTGAAAACGAGTCAGCTTCTATCCAAGAAAAAGCACAAGACATCAGACATGGACATACAGTGGACACATGATTAATAAAACTCAACTATATAAGAATCAAAAATAAAAACAAGATAAAATCAAATAGAACTATATAAGACAAAAAGAATAAAATGACTAACTAATGTCATGTAAATTATGTTAACTTGAGTTAAAAAAGTTAATTGCAACAGGAACAAAACCATGTTTGACCACCAGACGGCGACGTTAAATATTAAATTGAATCAGATGTAGTTTCAGTATTTGACCACCAGACGGCGACGTTAAATATTAAACTGAATCAGATGTAGTTTCAGTGTTTGACCACCAGACGGCGACGTTAAATGTTAAACTGAATCAGATGTAGTTTCTGTGTTTGACCACCAGTCGGCGATGTTAAATATTAAATAGAATCAGATGTAGTTTCCATGTTTGACCACCAGACGGCGACGTTAAATATTAAATTGAATCAGATGTAGTTTCTGTGTTTGACCACCAGACGGCGACGTTAAATATTAAACTGAATCAGATGTAGTTTCTGTGTTTGACCACAAAAGGGAGGTGTTGAACCACAAGCTGAACGCGGCGCATCAAAGATCTCTTCAAGTTACTGATTAATGGTAAATAGACGCTGCTCGGCTCGCCTCTTTGTGTTTTTACACATAAAAAAAAAAACTAAATAGAAACAGGTAAACTTCTCACCTGGCTGCGCTGGTGACGCCTAAGGGGGAAAAGGAAACAGAAAGTCTGGGAATCCCGGGACATTAATGCAGGAGGAGAAGAATCCCCTAGGTTTTTTTTATTTATTTATTTTGTAACTCGATGATTTGAATATGACACCATGAACCACACACATTAAAAGAAGACTGAAAGGATGAGGACGAAACCGAACCTCTCGCGACCGTGTGACAGGCACCGGAGCGGACTGCACACCTGTCAGGTAAGACTTGATGCTTTACTTGCTTAATGCATCTACATATATTTAATGTCTCGAAACTACAGATGATAAAGCACTCCTTGTTCTGCGTGGAAAACAACAGTGTTCAGGTCTGTATTTTTTTTTTTAAGCTTGCGTGTTTTTGTTTCTCCTCTTTGTGTTTTTGTTCTGCCTCATTATGGATTTCGGCGTATTTTTCGGCGCGGCGAGTAGGCGGAGTCTGGATGATTTTAAAGCACACTTTTCAATCAATAAATGTTAAGACGTTTGAAAAAAAAAAACCTTTACGTTCATAAACTTTCATGAACAACTAACGTCCTAGATAAGTTCCTCCCTCGTCACTTCTTCTCGCCTCTAACCGGGTTGTGCGGCGGTGAAAACGTAACGAGCTGATCCGTTCCAACCTGTTGTTTTAAGATAGATAGATAGATAGATAGATAGATAGATAGATAGATAGATAGA